GAAGTAAAAAAAAAAACCAGCCAAGGAACTAGCATTTTGAGATGCAGGAAAGCAAAGGAAGCTAATGGCTGTACCAAAAGTAATGCAAAATGCTTTTTTATTAAGTTACATAGGCCTTTCAAATTTCACATGTTGGTAGATTAACTCTTCCTCTATAGCAGGGGTGTCCAAACTTTTTTCAAAGAGGGCCAGATTGGATGAAGTGAACATGGTGGAGGGCCAAACATTTTTCCGAACATTCTTTGAACCATTACAATTAAATGCAAATAAATTATTTTATGCCAAGTTAATTGCAAACGACATACTTTTTTCATTTCATAACATTAAGATCAACTGACAGCTGAATTTTCACAATGTATTGAAAACAAATTTAAAAAAAAACGTACCTACACTAATGTGAAGGGTGAAAAAGGTAGCTGGAGCTGAAGTCTCTGCTCGGCAGCCGGTAGGGGAAGAGAAACACACTTCACGCTGGAAGCCCGGCCCTGACGTCACCGCCCTCTGTCGCTCCCAGCGTGGTGCAGTCACGCATGCGCACTGCTCTCAAGCAGAAGACTGTCTGCCACAGAAGGGAGGGCCGTGCGACAGCCGCATTTACACAGACCAGAGAGAACGCGCCGCAGTCAGGCATGCGCACTGCCCTCTGCTCTCAAGCAGAAGACTGTCTGCCATAGAAGGGAGGGCCACATTACACAGAGCAGGGAGGGCTGTTGGAGGGCCGTATTAAACCGACCCCCGGGCCGTAAATGGCCCGCGGGCCAGACTTTGGACATGCCTGCTCTATAGTAACTCTCCTTTTTCCTCTTTAAATTATAGATTCCAAGCAGAAACAATGTGTTATCATTAAGTTCTTAATGAAGGAGGGGTGCAGGCTGTCCGACACTCAGAGAAGGCTAAAGAATGTTTATGGAGGTGAAACCATTGAGAAGAGCAACGTGCACAGATGGATGAAGAAGTTTAAAGAAGGGGAAACCAGGATTAAAGAAAAAACATGCATTTGACAGACCAGGAACTGCGACCACTGATACGAATCATCAGTGAGTGTAACTCAATGATGGCAAGCTACTTCAGCTTGGAATTTATTATTCATCTGCAATGAAAAAAGAAGAGGTAGAAGAAGTTTTACTATAGAGCAGATCACGGTCTGCATCAGCATTATGGGAGCTGTCAAAGAGATGGCTGTATCTATAAGACTAGGATGTCCATCCACCCCACCCCCTTCTTACATCATCAAGAACCCCCCACCATCAGAAGTCAAGAGTCCCCCAACCTCGCTTAACCTTCATAGCGGTATTCCCGAGTGTGGCTCAGTGTTAATTTTAGTACCAAAAGTGGTAACCCCAAGCCACATTCAGGATTACACTGCAGAGCTTTTCCCATGATCCCTCGAGCCAACCTTGTCCCAAGATCCTGTGAGGTCCTCCCGCTGTGTCCCTCTGCCATGTCCTGCGGCCAATGCCGGCATTCGTCTTCCGTTCCCTGCGAGCGTCGGGATGTACGGGGGACGGAACCGGCGAGAGATTCAAAAAAGTAAAACTTTGACATACACTCAATACACTGTAATCTGTTAGTATTACATTACTGTATCAAACCATTTCACATACATTGTGTCCCGAGTGCTTTGTCCTGCGCCCTGCCTGCACTTTTACCGTTCTTTCTGCCTGGAAACTGAGAAACGTCCATGGCGTCCAAAAAGCGTCCCTTTAGGCCAAAATCGGTTTTAGACCGGCTAGAGAACAGCGATAGTAAATCAGAACCACTTGCAGAATTGAGTGATAATGATTTGTGGGGAAATTCGTCATCAGACACTGAAAACAATTCTGCGACTTTGCTCAGTGATGTGCGAACTTGGCGCTATATTTCAAATTTCAGTGTTTTTGGTTTGATTATATTATTGAATTAAATTTATTATTATTATATTATTATTTTTTATAATTATTTATTATATTATATATTATGATTTTGTGTTTCAAACTTTATCATACCCGGAATGTTTACTAGACTCTTGTTTGGACAGATTTCAGTGAGTTATTCCTAAGAATTACAGGCCTACAATATAAAACAACAAATTTCCATGCAAAACAATGTACCACTTTGACATTCAAAAATATTGATTGTTAGACCACCAGGGAGGTTAAATCACAGTGCACCCCCCTTACCTTGTGCTACTGCTGGGAAGAAGCTGGGGACGTAGCTGGAAAGCAGAACGTGCAGGATATGGAGGGCAAGAGTCAGCTGCCAGAGTCTGCTGAGCACTGAGACCACATGGAGGAAGAGACAAGAGGCTGCCCAGAGAGGCAGAGGACATGTAGAAGATCTGTCCTCCTTTTTGCTGCCACCTGCTGAGATGGGCTGCGGCTGCATGAGGAGGCACAGGATCTGGAGGAGGAGCTTTGTTTCTCTCCCTGATGCAAACAAGGCGGGGGTGGAGACAAGGAGGGTACCGCAGCTGCAGGAAAGGAGCGAGGGTCACATGAAATGGCCTGGTGGACCAGATTCAACCTGCTGGCCTTGTGTTGGACACATGCTATAGAGGAAGAATTACTCTACCAACATGTGAAACTTTAAGTTAATTAAAAAGATTTGCCCACTTCTGCATTACTTTCTGTACAGCCCTTGTGTTTCCTCCCTGACAGGTCTACTTTAAACTTCATAGAATATTGTCGTGTTAAATAAATAAGCATTAAAAAAAACACCTGTCACAAAAAAGACAGAGTTAAGAAGACATATAAAGGGCAGAGTGTTTCCTCCACTAGTCTACACATACACACTAACCATACTGCGCAGACATATGCTGCCATTTCTTCAGGGCTCCGCAGAGAACGCCAACATCAGTAGGGAAATAAGACAGAAGATTGTGAACAGAGCTGATTTAAGCGCCAGACTCCAGCTGAATGCCAAAAGTGACAGCTCGTTATCCACACACAAGCTATTATTACACACAATGGAAAAATGAAAATAAAACCATGCCGTATGGAATGTCAAAACATACATACATAAATGTTCAACAAAAAATGTGTCAATTTTTAATACTGTCATTAACATCTCATAACATTTTGTAAATGCTGTCATAACTGGTCACGGTTGGGTAGATAACCTATGAGGATGATTTGCTGAAAGATGTCTGCCCTAAGTGGCAATGGGATGCACCATTACTTTTGGCACAACTTGACAGATGGACAGAATTGCAGCAAGAGGTAACCCTCCCCACTCCTCTTCACAGCGAGGAAAAGAATGACCCCATTGCATGGAGATTTTGCAACAGGAAAGTCTCATTGTGATGAATAGGGATTATTGGAATTGAGAGTTCTGAAAAGTTTGTGCAAATTGTGATTTACAAGAGGGGCATCCTTTAAGCCGTTCTTCTGCCGGCTATTGTTGAGGACCTTTAAGAAGCGTTGCGCACATAATGACATTTTTAGTAAGCCAGCATGCAGCATGAGTGCAGTAAAGAAGCAGAAAGGGTGCGGTATAGGTACGGTACAGGTGTAGTACTGGTCCAGTATAGGACGCATTGTATGATCAGTAGGGATTAGTGGAATTGAGAGTTCTCACAATTTTGTGCAAATTGGGAGATTTTGGTGTTGAAATTGGAATCTACAGGGAAGGCAAAATTAAGGAGGGTTTTTGGTGCTCTTTGAGTGGTTTAACTGGCTCTTGAGGGAGCTCCTATCAAACAAATTGTCTCATTATTTTAGATTTTTTTCAAAGGATGAAAAAAGAAAAAAAATTGATGGTACACAAATAATGATCAAATACACTGCATAAAACAACACTAACAAAATAAACAAACTATCCTAAATACACCTCATCAAAAACACACCCATTAAATAAAGGTACAAAACAGTAGATAGTGTTTTTCAAAAACATTTTGCAGTTCAATGAGAGAAACTAAGAGCTTCTGAACTGAAGATGGTGAAATCAGTAATCTCACGACTAAATAATGTTTGCTTTTGTTTTAAAGTGCACTTAACCTTTAAGTTGGTAGCTGCTGCACAAATGAAAGCGTATTTCCACTGCCACAGTCAACTTTGAGAAAACCCAACTGTATGCTTGTTATGTATTCCCATTCACACAGCATGCCTAAAAATAAAAAAATGTATATATATATATATATATATATATATATATATATATATATATAGAGCCATATCAGCTTCCTCTGATTGGACAAGGTGGAGAGACAGGAGAGTGACATTACGACCTCCACCTTGCACAATCAGAGCATGCTTTGCATTTGCACTTTGCCATTCATTAAATGGCACCCGTGCCAAGAAGGCAAGCTTATGTGATCAATAAGCAGCAGCGTAGCCTCTCAGCATGGGATTCGGAAGGCAGCGGCCATCACTGTAGTAGTGGTACCTGGTACAGTAATTTCCAGCTTTCACTGGGATACCACAGGTATGGCACCTACATACTTATATGTATCCAGGCTGGACCAATGTAACTATGGAAAAATTGCCATACCTAAACTTCAGGTTTAACTGTGAGTGAGCTTCCAACTACAGCAAATGGAGAATTAGCCTCCCTAGCGGTCTGATTATGTCAGTATTTCTGTGCTCAAAGCGGTACATTTTATTGCATGGAAATATGTACTTTTTTATTGTAGGCCTGTAATTTTTAGGAATAATTCACTGAAATCTGTCCGAACAAGAGTCTAGTAAACATCCCGGGTATGTTAAAATTTGATAAACGAAATCATAAATTATAATGTAATACATAATCATAAAAAAATAATAATATAATAATAATAAATGTAATTCAATAATATAATCAAACCAAAAATACTGACATTTGAAATATAGCGGCAGGTTCGCACATCACTGAGCAAAGTCGCAAAATCGTTTTCAGTGTCTGATGACAAATTTCCCCCACGAATCATTATCACTCAATTCTGCAAGTGGTTCTGATTTACTATCGCTGTTCTCTAGCTGGTCTAAAATTGCTTTTGACCTAAAGGGACGCTTTTTGGACGCCATGGACGTTTCTCAGTTTCCAGGCAGAAAGAACAGTAAAAATGCAGGCAGGGCGCCGGACAAAGCACTCGGGACAAAATGTATGACAGGAGTGAAATGCTTTGATACAGGAATGTTTTACTATGTGATTTTCGTGTATTTAGTGAATGTCACTTTTTCACATTTTGAAATTTCCCGCCAGTTCCGTCCCCCATATGTCCCTACGTCGCAGGGAATGGAACCCAGAAGACGGATGCTGGCATTGGCCGGAGGACATTGCTGAAGAACATTGCCGGGGACACTGCAGGAGGGACATCGCGGGAGCGAAGGACAACGTAAGTGAAGAAGAGATCCTGGAGCAACACTGTAAGGTATTCCCGAGTGTTGCTCGGGGTTACCGCTTGTGGTGCTGAAACTTTACCCTGAGCTACACTCGGGAATACCACCAGGGAAGTTAAAATCCATGATTAACCATCCATCCAGATTCCTTTTGCATATTATATCGAAGCCCTGAGGAAGAGGCATTCGGGAGATGTAACAGGTCGGCAGCCAAGGCTAAATTCCGGTATTGCTTGGACAAATCTGGTAAGTACCCAGGTATGTCAACAAAGATATACAACAATCATATGATTTATTAAGAATTCTCCAGCAGTCTTGGAGTCCAGATCTCCTCCATCATAATTCTAGAATTAGTGTTTTAATGCTGAGTCCCTATTGCATATTTTTAATTCCTTTCAGTATGGTGAAATGGTTGTCTCCATGACAGTGACTGGGACGAAATCTCCTTAACACAGTCTTTCTCAACCAGGGTGCTCAAGTACCCTGGGGTGGCTTGAGGTTTCTTCAACGGTGCCTTGGAAAAATGTCTAAAAATTGCCCACAACTTGTGACTTACACAAAGTCACAGGTTTTCATTGTGCACCATCATGACCTTCTAGCCACCTGACAACCAGTAACATCATCAGTTGATAAGAAGGATGTCAGCTGCATGCACAGCATCCTTGTTTGACCCTCCCTTGCCCCTCTCAATCAGTGCTCAGGTCACATTAGCTCAGTGATGGAGAAAAACTGAGGGAGAGGAGAAACACTGGAATACTACTCAGCACCAGTGTGCAAAAGTGTATTTGCTTTGGAAGTATAAATCACTACTAATGTTGGGTGTCCTACGTGTGTGGATGTTGCTGCGTTATATAAAAATTATTAGAATAACTTTTCACATTTTAGAATGGGGTGCCCTTTTAAAATTATGGACAATCTTGAGGCACCCCATTTTAGAATGGGGTGCCACAAGACTGTCCATAATTTAAAAGGTGTCTTGACTGAAAAAAGCTTAACACTGCCTTAACAGAACCCTGGAAAGCAGCAAAAACTTGAGGTTTTGTTCCTTTCCAACAATATCCAAACTGTAAAAAAAAAATGTTTTGTCTGGGCTTAAGTTTTAATAATTACTTGTCATTTTTAATGGATTTTTATCAGCAAGTATTGGTCATTTTTATCCCTCTAGGCATTCATAGCATATGTTTGATTTCACTGCTGGATCTGCGGAATCTCATTTTCTCTGCTATTAGACCCCAGCTGTTTTGTATTGTGAAATGCAGAATTGACACACATATATACAAGTTGATTGAAGTTTTACCAAGGATTCTCTGAAAATATTCTCCAGATACATTCACTTGTCTTCTTGTGTGATAGAGGTCACAAGTTTGAGAACCGAACGTAAGAATGCAGATATGAGAAGTTCTATATTAACTGTATTTATTCACACTTTACATTTCTACTTTCCTTGAAAACTATAATAAAATATATACAAAAAGGTGAATTAGAAATGATATTACAAACATTAAGGTTGCAGTCCATGGAGGCCATAAAAATGCATTTGAATCTGGGAATGGATTCATGAAAAATGTAAAGTATTGTATATACAACTAGCCTAAGTACCGGCATTTGCCCTTATATTTGCAAACTGTATTGTATTGTCTGCACCATTGCACTCTGGTACTATCAGCCTAATAATGGGAACAAGTGAACAGAAGGGCAAGGCACAGATGACTACAGTATGTAAGCCCTGAGGATGAGGTGCTTTTTTATTCATTTATAATTAATACAAAATATGAGGGCTGTACCAAAAGTAATGATAAAGCAGGCATAATGTTTTTATTACCTTACGTACACGGGTTAGAGGCAATAATGGAAACACGTCTTGAGAACGTCTTGAGAACGCCCGATGGGAGGGGCGAAACGCGTTGACGCATTTCCGGTCGTTACTCCTTACGTCTGACGTCACTTCCGGTGAGTGGAGCGCACGCTGAGCGGTGCGTTCCAGCGGCCATTTTTTGGGATCTGTAGATGTGTGGTCTCTGTGGAGCTTCTGCTGTAACCTGGAGCTGTGATGTGAGATTCCGTGGGAGGTTGCCTTACATCTACTGTTCATCTGGAAAGAAGCTGGTCCTAATAAATATGCCTTTTTAAAGTGATTTTAATGTGAGTGGCCTTAATCCTTGATTTCACTTATGAATGGTGTTTTGCAATATTACACTATCTGAGATTTTTTCTCCCTGGTCGGATGGTGGAGCCTATACTGGAGGTGAGGATTCCTACAGAGTGGATACGAAAGAGGGTTTAGGAGCCCATAAATTCCTTAAAGGCGTTTCATTCACCTATATCTGGTGAGTGCATTTGATGTTGGTTTTTTCACGGGTGGAAGGTGGAAGTTTCTTTATAATAGAAGAAGAATTTGAAAGTTTCTTTTTGCACAAAATATATTTTTGAGATTTTTTTGAACTTTGGTTTATTAATTTTGATGGACTTCACTATTAATCTAATTAATTACAAATTAATTTTCTATATATGTTTGCACGTTGTATGTTGATTTGATGTAGAGGTCTATGTTTGCGCTGTTTATTTTTATTTTTCACAATTTTGTGTTGACCACATTGCACAGCAGCAGGATAGAACCTGAAGTAGGGTGTCTCACTGGGCGCAGGAAGAATTTTTAGTAATAATGGAAACACGCCATGATTTGCAGGTGGTAAAGTAGCGACATGTTTCATGTTGAAAGTGGAATTGATGTAACATTCTTTTGCTTCTGCTGTGTGATGAGATACCTAGCTAACAGGTGGGCAGCCTCACTTGCCTCATTCACTGCGTGTATTGCTAGTAATACGGAGTCATGACCAGGGGCGGACTGACAACTCATGGGGCCCCCGGGCAATAGGGGATCATGGGGCCCCTGTGTCCTTGCCCAAACTCACAAAAGCCTATGAAACAGGTACCAGGGGCATCTCATGGGGCCCCCCTACTGACCCGGGCCCTCTGCAGTTTCCAAATGGTCAGTCCACCCCTGGTCATGACAGAGCTTACTGAGCTTCAAAGAGGGCAGATTGTTGGTGCCGCTAAGCTGGTGCCTCTCTGACTGAAGTTGGCAGTTCATGGTGATGATGACATATACAGTTTCCAGGAATACGTTGTCTGATAAGCATATGGGCGGTCGCTGCGGATAACTGACCGAGAGAGACAAAAGGATGTGACCCGGAATAAGAAAACAACTGCTGCAAAAGTGACTGCAGTGCTCAATCTCAGTCTTCAAGGCAGGGAGAATAATATTACACACATTACACATTGTTAGGCACATAGTTAACCATTTGATTGCCCTTAGATGTTAACCTCTTCCCAGGCCAGTGTCATTAGTACAAAGACAATGTACAATATTGGCACTGATCACTGTATTAGTGTCACTATTGATGTCAGTGGAAGTTAGTCAGTGTACCTCCCAGTCAGCATTAACTAGCACCAGATTGCCCGCCACATTATCACAGTCCCACTATAAGTCACTGATCACCGCCATTACCAGTATAGCATTATAGCTGCATAAATTCCAGTGTATACACCATAGTTTGTAAAAAGTATAACTTTTTTTTATTTCAATTATTTTTATTAAACAATTTAACAAAGGAAAACTAGAGCAAAATACATGCCTGCGCAGGGGCTATCAATGGCACATAAGACACTATAACTTTTGAACAAACCAAATAATATGCACTTACTGGTATTTTTTTTTTTTTACCAAAGACATGTACCAGAATACATTTTGTCTTAAATTTGTGAAGAAATAAGATTTTTTAATTATTTTTTTTTATTGGATGTGTTTTATAACAAAAAAATCTAAAATATTGTTTTCCTTTCAAAGTGTTTGGTCTTTTTTCGTTTATATCGCAAGAAATTAAAAAAAAACCCACTGATGATCAAACACTACCAAAAGAAAGTTGTATTTGTGTGAAAGAAATTATACAAATTTAATTTGTGTACAGTGTTGCATGACTGCACAATTGCCAATTAAAGTAGCGCAGTGCTGAATAGCAAAAAAAAATATATAAATCTCTGGTCATGAAGGGGGTAAAACCTTTCAGAGTTCAAGTGGTTAAAGAAAACAAACTGTTACCCCTGGTTCACATATCCGCGTTCCTGCGGTCCACGTTTTGTGCGGGCACAAGAGCCCATTCATTTCAATGGACTCCCGTGCCCCGGGACACACAGGGAAGAAGTCCCTGCACTTCTTCTGAAAACGCAGCCCGCATGGGAACCTCGGTTCTCAGAACGGTTGCGGTTTCCAGTGCGGGCGGCGTGCCATTAGAGTTATTGGCACGCCATATTTATATACATATATATATATATATATATATATATATGAGAGAGAGAGCACAATCACTTTATAGTTACATAGTTGGTGTGGCTGAAAAAAGACAAAAGTCCATCCAGATCAACCATTAAAAAAAAAAAGGTTATAATCCTATACTCACAGTTGATCCAGAGGAAGGCAAAATCCCAGCAAAGCATGACCCAATTTGCTCCTGTAGGGAAAAAATTCCTTCCTGATCCCCTGAGAGGCAATTGGATATTCGCTGGATCACCTTTACCTATAAATGTTAGTATCCAGCTCAGGGGCGGACTGACCATTGGAGCACTCGGGCACTGCCCAAGGGCCCGGGATCAGTAGGGGGCCCCATGAGATGCCCTTGGTACCTTTTATAGGCTTTTTTAGGGTGTGCTTTGAGTGTGGGCAAGGACACAGGGACCCCATGCGTTGTCAGTCCGCCCCTGATCCAGCTATATTATGTGTATCTAGGAAAGAATCCAGGACTTTTTTAAAGCAAATCCAATAATAAAAATTTTGACGGGAGTGACTTTTGGGTGTCGGGGGACCGCTGTATTATCTTCCCAAATCATTATGTTTAAGTGACCCTGTGCCTGTTAGGGTACAGGGTGTACATGTGAATGTCCCAGTCCTGTGTATAGTGTGTGTTCCTTTGTTCTCGGCCACATGGTTGCCCATTGTCTACTGCCATGTGGCTATTCCTTTGTTCTATTGTGTCTTGCTGGCCAGCAAACTATTATGGGATGTACTGTTTGT